CCCCAAAACCCCAAAACCCCAAAACCCCAAAACCCCGCGGTCAAAAATAATTTTTGAATTTTAAATGGAGTCAAACAGAGTGAGCCGCAATAATTATACTGAAGAATCAGGTTTGAAACAATTGGATTCGAATAAAGTAGTAGAAGAGTATGATGTCGGTAAGCAAAGTTCAGGCAAATATAGGCTATATGAAGAAGATTCAGGCGTTTAAAAGTTTTACATTTAATGATGAAAATTTTAATGATCAGACAGGTTTTAAGCATTTGGAGCAGAATTTAAACCCAGGAAGTGGATATAATTTTAAGAAGATTAGTGAAAATATTGAGCAGTCTTTGGTCGACGATTATAGCGATGGCGAAATGTTTGAGGAGGATCATTGAGATCCAAAGTTGAGAGAAGAAATAAAAATTGACCATCTGGAGGGAGAAATTAGTAAGCAGTATTTGTTTTATTTGTGAATATAGATTGAGAAAATCAGGTGGCGATAAATAATAAAAACAGAAACATATTTTCAAACATTTTAATGAATGAAAGTGATGATGAAATGGATGATCCCCATTTAAGGATTTCATATTCAAAAATAACGCCAAATATCTTAAAATCCGCGACTAAAAGTTCAAAGGGCCTAAAAAGTTGACAAAAACGTCAAAAATCTCATCCTTCACAAGACCCACCTAAACCAGCTCCTAGCACCTCTAAGGCCTCTTTAGAGCCTATTCCAGACCTATTTCTCCCTCAAATCCTATCAGAATTTTCCACTACAATTCCTTCTTCTGCTCCCTTCCTGATTACTTCTAAAGATGATCTATTATCTCAGATCAGGCTGAACAAGTCTGTTCTTGCAAGCCAGGCTTCTGAGATAGACTACCTCAAGTGACAGCTTTCAAGCCTGAAGCCTGCAAAGGCTAAAGCCTTGAAAGCCGCCAAGCCGAGTCCTTGAGAGGCTATCCAAGCTGATACATTTAGGCTGCAGCAAGAACTTGACCAAGTAAAAACTGAGATGAACAAAGTAACACAATGGAAACACCAGATAAAAGAAGAGAAAGCCAGATTAGTACAAGTAGCAAAGCTCTTAGAGAAAATAAAGACCAGCTGGAGGATAAACAAGCCATCCAACCCCAACCCCCCACCACTTCCTAAAACCCCCTCTTAATCTCCCAATCCTCCTCTAACCCCTATCTCACCCACACAAAATCCCCAATTTCAACCTTACCTTTCCACCCCGGGGTTTTGGGGTTTTGGGGTTTTGGGGTTTTGGGG